TGCTGCTATTGCATCGGTTTGCACCCCTAAAGGAGCAGGATTGAACCATTAAGGGTACTAACATGTCTCCTAAAAGGTGCAATCTGGCAACCTCCTAAAGGATGCAGGATTTAACCCATAAAGGTGCTGCTATTGTCGCATCGGTTTGCACCCCTAAAGGTGCAGGATTGAACCATGAAGGGTACTAACATGTCCCCTAAAAGGTTCAATCTGGCACCCTTTTAAAGGGTGCAGGATTGCACCTTTAAAATGGGTGCATGATTTAACCCCTAAAGGTGCTGCTATTGTTGCATCGGTTTGAACCCTTAAAGGGGCATAGTTGCACCATTTTTTCTTAGTGTTTAGCTATACTTGCTCCCTCTTTATAGAAAACTTTCCCAATTGGTGCCTGCTGGTCCCCCGCATGATCCTCTTTTTCTTATGTTAGTTGAGAGCTGAGTTAATGAGATAGCCACCTGTCAGTGACCTCGTTGTGTGGTCTAATCCCTTCTGGCCCAGTAGTATTGGCGGTCTTTAAGAATCATTGAAGGTGTTAGCCTCAAACTTAGTGATAGTATGTATTCTCACAGGAAGACAGTCTCAGTAGGTCAAAGATCACATCGGTCAATTTAAGAAATTAAAGGCTTAAGTTAGCCTTGCTATCGCAATATCTCAAGAACAACTTGAGCCATGCATATGAAGAAAATATAAGTAGATTTTAAATTGTTTCGGTCAAAATTCAAACGTCTTAGAGGTCAATTTCTGAAATTACAGGTTTTAGCATCATTATCACTATACATGGAGAACCACTTGGGATATGTTTATTTCTACATGTAGTAAACAAGTATTCAGTTGTCATTTTCCAAAGATCAACCAGAAGTAAATCACCGGAAGAAAGTGGACAGCTGGAGGTATTTTTTTTCTGATTAGCCACAAGCCCAGCCAGGGGTCATTGAAAGTCCTAGTATAATTTTGGTAAACACCAAAAAAAAGGGGGTCAATTTTCTTTGAATTAAATTGAAAAGTAGCTAGACACTTTAATCCAAAGGTTTTATATGTACTTTTCTATTTGTTGAATTGTTTTTTTATATTGTGAATTGGAAAATAAAAATACCATACCATACCATGTCATAAACAGGTCGACTAGAAGGCTACAGGGTAGCATGAAGCGAGCGACCTTAAATCAGGTCACAAACTTTTCACGTAACCAACAGACGGATACTCTTCAAAACTCCAAAAATAAGTTTTTAACATGTCAGAAGAGCCGATAAATGACAACAATTTCAAAATAGTAGATTTACACTTTTGGTAAAATTATGCTCGATTTAAGCTCTACTGCATTGGTGCAGCATGTTAAAAGTGCAAATCTATACCATTTTGAGATGTCTCTACTCAGCCATAATTGTACTGTTGATTTAACCTATTTGATTTTAGAGGGGAGACGAGTAGATCACACAGGTAACAAAGTTTCACACTTTGCATCCCGAATCAAACAAGCGAAACAAGGAGCCGTTGCTATCATGCTAAACAAATATTTACAGATTCATGAGAAATATCTTATAAACTGACATCATGCACATAAGAAGCAATTAATGAAGTATGCAATAAATGTGGTCGTTAGCATGAATGTTACGACAAGGATCGACCGTGTTTCATGGGCTAAGTTGACAAACTCTTATATGAAAATATTTCAAGTTCAAGTTTATTCGTCATGCTACACTGTAGCTCCTCAAGTTGTAATAAATGTTTCTGCCCCCTTTTTCATGAAATGATTGTGATAATGTGATTTATTCTTGATTTATACAAGTTTATATCTTCTCAGTACTCTCAGCATCTTCTCAGTACAAAGATGGATTAATAAGTTCTGAGAAGATATAAACTTTTTACCAAGATTAAATCCCATAGTCACAATCTTTTCATGAAAACAGGTCAGAATATTAAATACAACTTTATGGGCAACGGTGTAGTAATACATACATCCATTAATCAAATTCAATATAAACTTAAAAGATCTACCTATACTACATGTATCAGCCAACGTGGGAGAGGTCATCAAACATTACCTTTGTAACTTATTGTTCACCTGTTTGCATGTTCCTTTGTCTACCTATCTCAGGTAGATAGTACTTATCTATACCTTTTTCGTATACGCTATCTTTCCTCAGCTTCGCTTCGGAAAGATAGCTACATCCAGATCGCCTCGGAAGTGATAGTTTGTCCCATCACCTTCACGAACGGTAATTATTTGCTTAATACCAAACATTACCTTTGTACCTTATTGTTCTCCTGTTTGCATGTTCCTTTGTCTACCTATCTCAGGTAGATAGTACTTATCTATACCTTTTTCGTATACGCTATCTTTCCTCAGCTTCGCTTCGGAAAGATAGCTACATCCAGATCGCCTCGGAAGTGATAGTTTGTCCCATCACCTTCACGAACGGTAATTATTTGCTTAATACCAAACATTACCTTTGAACCTTATTGTTCTCCTGTTTGCATGTTACTTTGTCTTGGAAATTTCCTTTCAATGCTTTAGCATGTCTTAACATGCCATTCTTTGTTATATATCTATGTTAACCTTAGTTTAGAATGTTCACCTCGGTGAATAATATGCATGGTGTTATCAGTTTTCAAATTATGGATTTATTATTAGATTATTACTCCCCCACTTACAGATTATTTATTAATTTTTCCTTTTTTTAATTAAAAAAAAAAAAATGAATATCAATTTTAGGTAACCGTATACTGCAAGCCTTGCTTCTGAGCGGTTCCCTCCATTTCCAGAGTTTTTTCCTTTAAATAAACATACTTAATTCATATCAACTGTATAGTTTCTTTTGTAATTCTACTAATTATTTGCAAAATGCATTATATTAGTGTATATTGATTTCTCGATTTATTTTATTTTTGTCACACTAATTGATTGTTCCGTTAGAAATGAAAATAAACCTGAAACTGAAGCTGAATTGATAACAGGAAGACGAGGAGGCCTCAGACAAAGCTTAGACTGTAAAGATAAGGTCCCTCCAAAACATAAAAACAATTTATAACAATATATTTTATTAATAAAATAAAAACAAAACGTACTATCAACAAAAGTATACTATACATACCAACAACATGAACAATGATAAACGAATAGGTCGAATACTGTTGAACTAAAAATAACCTGTTACATGGTTAGGCTATAACAACACAATAATACTAGTAATAATGCTAAATAATAGTATTAATAATACTTAATAGTAATAATAATAATAATAATAATAACAATAATGATAATAATGACATAATGATACTAATAATGACGATAACAACAACAACAGCAACGACAATAATAGTGATCAATAATAATAATGAGTAAGGCTTGAGTCTAGAGAGTTCCTAAACCAAGCGGGAAAACACCCGAATTATGATCATAGATTAAAAAACCCAACTGCCGTTAATAAATATCTTGTAACTTTAAGATTCGAAGATCACCAACAAAATTGTATATCAGCACGAAAGGTAGCATTACAAATTAAAAGTATCTCTCCCTGTAAACCAAGAATAATTTTATCTAACTACGTTTTGAGACATTTACCTCAAGCAAGCAAAGAAGAACTGAAGTTGAAGACAAAATCAGTAAATTTTGTCTCTCACAATATCGCAAGAGTGAAATGGAATACAGAATAATCCTAAAGAAATTTTGAATGCATCATCTTATTTTCCATATATACTTCGTAGGCCAACCTACAATTTCGATAAAGATTCATTTTATGTAAAACTTGAAGCAACAACAACTGATATCATAATAATGATGATGATAATGATGACAAATAATATCAATAAATGGTAATAATGATAATAATGATACTACTACTACTAATAATCATAATCATCATCATCATAATTATAATGATGATAATAATAATAATAACAATCCTATTATTATTATAGTATCCATAATGATAATAATAATAGTAATATCATATTAACAACATTAATGAAACAGATGATAATAATAATCTTGGATGTATATAACACCTTTTCCACGGGATACAAGGACAAATTGAGAAGAAACGTAGGAACGTTATTCCATATTAGGCGTTAGGTGACAACGGATGCCAGGTTTTCGGTCCGTCTACTTCTCTCTCTCTCTCTCTCTGTCTCTCTCTCTCTTTCTCTTTCTCTCCCCCTTTCCCCTCTTTCTACCCACCCCCCCCCCACTCTCTCTCTCCCCCTCTCTACTCTTTCTCGCCTTCTATCTCCCTTCTCGCTATCTCTCTATCTCTCTCTCTCACTGCTCATTTCCCACACTTCTCTGTGAGCTCTAAATTACCACCGTCTTTCTGTCTCTGCTTCCAACATTATTATCCCATCCTTGTATCTCTTTCACTTCTCTGTGTATTTCACTCTCTCTCTTTCTATATTTTGTCTCTCCCTCCCTCCCTCCACCCCTCTCTCTCTCTATCTCTTTCTCTCTTCCCCTCTCCCTCTCCATCTCCCCCATCTGCTATGAGCCTGGAAAATGGCTTTAACCATAGTATCATCTTTATTATGTAGAGTAACTGCCCTTCTGGTGTTCAGCTCAAGCAGGATATCCCTGCATGAAGTACGCTGTCTGCTCTCGTCGATGTTATGGCTCCCCAGATTCTTTGCATTAAATTATGACGATGATCTCACTGGATGCCAATCCGTTGCCAATTGAATGCGTTGCATTAGTGATTAAATTCATTTGTGTAAGATATTGCACCCTTTCCATCATTCAAATGTACAACTGATAAAGTAAAATACTCGAGAAAAGAGCTCAAGTACATCTCCAAATGTTTACATCTTTGAAGCTGGGAACCAGTAAAAATCTACTCTAATAATTATTAATCAATCTTAACAATCATCAATTGGCAACTGTCACGAGTCACAACAAGATCATTCCAACGCGTTTCATCTGGTGGGATGCCGTCCCCCATCTCCCTCTCACTCTCTCTTTCTCTCTCCCTCTCCCTCTCCCACTCTCTCTCTCTCTCTCTCTCTCCCTCTCCCTCTCTCTCTCTCTCTCTCTCTCTCTCTCTTTATGAGATGGATGACCCCCTGTTCTAGGGTTATTCTCCGTTACATCGGCAGCGCTTTTACATCGCAAGTAAATAATCAACATGTTAAGGCGTACATGTTTGAGTGAGTTCCAATTGCCAATGACATGACTATTATTGTTTCGCGGTGTCTCGATCTAACTACGACAGCGGTTTAGGAATGGCGTGTGGGTAATGCATCGCTCGGATAAGGACCGATGGAATGTCTTCCTCAGCTTGCAATCCGCGAGTTTAAGCACATCATTCGTACAGGGAGCCATGTTATAGTGTTGACTTTTTATGCTATTTCCGCGATTTAGGAAGAGGATATTTTCATTTCATTTGTGGTAATGGCACTGACGACAAGGATGCTTTGAGACCTTGAAGTTTTCAAGTTCGTCAAGGTAACCTTGTGAACTTTTCGTTAGCGTGAAGATGTATTGTATTGTGTCGTGTTGCATTGTGTGTTGTATATATAAAGTACATTGAATTTGATTATAAATATTTAATTGTCCTCATGCTAGCTCTAACTAAATACCTATTCTAACTAACTTTCAATTTCTAAATCAATTTTTAAAAAATTGAAAATGGAAAACTTTTATTTTTATTTGATCATTAAACATTGAAATCCCTGTAAATGTATCTTTAAAGGAGTGACAAATCATAAAACAAATCGATGTTGTAACTGTCTGTGTAAGTTCACGTACACAAGTAAATTGTCATAACAGCTGCTAGCTGAGCAAGATATTACAGTGACTTGCACTAAATCAAATTCGAAAGTTCATAGAACTTTTCAAACCAACAACAAACCATTGCCTCTGTTTGCTCAGTAATGTTCTTTTTTTAGAAAATTAAAAATGAATAAAAACGGTGTCTTGTTGGTATTAGCGAACTATCACGAAAGTCAATAGATTCTATTTACATTTCGTCTTTTCTCTTTTCGATATTATCTACCCCTCACGTATGTACTTGTGACCCGATTATTTGCTCCCGCTTCACCTGCTACGTGCTTGATGCTGTTAGTGTTAGGTACAGGCAAGTCAGTAGGTGAAGTATTTAGTCAAATGTTTAGTTAAGAATTTGGTTTAGTGTAGTAATTATTTGAGCGTGAAGCAGTTGAAGTCGATGCATGTATCATAGATGCATGTGGCGGAAATTCGGGGAGACGCCCCCTCCCCCCCCCCCCCCGCCTCCCAACGATTTGGACAGGGAGACATAATTATCCAATGTCTGCCACGATTTCTGGTCTTTTATTTTTCTAAAAACGACACCCCCCCCCCCCTCTCTCTCTCTCTCACCCTCTCTCTCTCTCTCTTTCTATCTATTTTTTAAAATACAAATTATGGAGTACAATAGGTGTCTCCTCCACTATTTCTGCCAATGGTCATAGAACCTTGTTAATGTTTACCATCACTTTGCTCTTACTTACGCATGAATATCATCTAATGTACAATCATCACGTGCTTGCATTCCATTCATTCTTCTCACATAGCGCCTTGACGGGCCTACGTGCGATAGTTAAGACGTTCAAAATGAACTAGATCATTATAACGCTTGGCACCAGACGAAGATTTCTATGTAATCATGGACCCTTAGGCTCCGTTTTTTTTACTAAAGCAGGGGCGGATCCAGGAATTTCTTCCCGGGGGGCACACGGGGGGGGGGGGGAGAGAGGACATATATATTTTGTGTGCCCCCTGTGTCCCCCCTGGATCCGTCCCTGTAAAGACTTGCGATTGATCCGAATCAATCGCAAGTCCTCTAACCACTCGCAAGTTTGCAGTCCCCTGTCTTTTATGTATCAATCGCAAATAAGTTGCGACTAATCGCAACTGTTTATGAGACGTGGCCCTTGAATAATCGAGTAGATATCGTATAGGATACGTCATGAACATGATTGTGACGTAGGTGAGACGGAGGGTATGTTCACACTTATAAGTCTAATTGGACATGGAGAACGTGCCTTTTCATCCGTTGTTGTTCCCCGGCCCCCCACTCAGTGTTATTTAGGGTACGCATATGCGTGTTCCAACCGACCCCCCCCCCCCCTTTTTCAGCAAAAGTCCGGTGTGTAAAGTCAATACGGCTCGACCTTTTTCTTTTGTATACGAGCTTTTTTCAGCACCCCCCCCCCCCCTTTCCAGCAAAAGTCCGGTGTGTAAAGTCAATACGGGTCGACCTTTTTCTTTTGTTACGAAAAGGACATTTTGGCAACACATATGGGGTCCGTCCGTTCTCGGAGTGGGGGGGGGGGCCGGGTGTTGTTCCTAGTCATGATTGTGGAACTAGCTCCTTTACTTCGTTATAATATTGGCAATTAGAACAATTTAACTGCTGCTTTGGCTCACTAATACTTCTTCAGCCCATGTGTGATTGTTGAGTTTATTGGTGGACCCTGCGCCTTTAATACCATTAACAGAAACATGGCGCCATATCAATGCTATGAGTCATCAATGTGACTCTTTAAACAACATACGAAGTAAGATGGTACCTATTTGTATTATGCCTTAAAACGTTTGGGGTTAGGGATGGGGATGGTAATTTTTTAACATTATTTTAAAAGCAAATTTGGTTTATGACGTATACAAAAACTGGTAGACAGGGACGGGGTAGTCCATTGCAAGTTGCTTCGATAGTTATGGTCATCCAACATGTCCAAGGCAAGGAACACTTGCTCATACAAATGATTATGGATTCTGTTTGTTCCTGGTCTTATGATGTTCTTTATTTTGTCAACCTTTTCTACAACCCTATATACCTTCCTCTGTTTATTTCTCTTTGGTTTATCAGGACTATTCTATCATGGAATTGATGTACCAGCACGAAGTTTTCTTCCAGCGATAATCTGTATCAAAGAGAAAGCTGTTTCAGAGAGAAATAAAAACTGATCAAAGAGAAAGACCAACCGCTTGGTGAATTGGAAAGTCAATTATTGTGGGTGATATTTGTATTCGAGAGATCCATCAATCATGGCTGAGGCAAAACTTGAACCAGAAACACCGACCTGTCCTCCGATCAGTGACTTTGAGATGGACATGATGCGGATGGAACAGATGGCATTACTCCTAGAAGAGGAAGGAGAGGCTTCGCTTAACCTCTTCTCTCAAACCTCCAACGAGAGCTTGGACTTCTCCAACCCTCGCCAGCCTTACTGGAACGAGCCCAGGTATGACCGAAGCGAGGTCCCCAGTATACTGGTTTCGGGGATCACCAGCGACGACAAATCCGAAATCAGCGGAGAAGTATCGTTAGCGATGAGTAAAGTTCAGATGAATGAAGCCGCTGAAGGCCACTCAGGACCCTTTGCAGAAACCACCCCTGCCGGAGGTGCCATACCGAAGTCAGGATTTCGTCGGAGTGTTTCTGTGGAGAGTTCAGGAGGTAGGTAAGCCTTTGGGCTTATTCACATTGAGAAAAATGCAAGGAAGTTGAAGGTGACCAAAGAAAACCCGTTCGTAGTTTTATTCAAAAGACATGTTTGTATTTCATTTCCATAATACAATGTAATACAGTCTTGAAGAATCTTTCCTGGTGTGAATCAAAAGAAAAACATCAGAGCTTTAATGATGTGCTTTAAGTCTAAATGTCAAATACATTTTTATTGATATTTGTCAGGATATAACCTAATATAATCCATCGTGATTGCCAAGTCATTGTGCATAAAGATGTAATATTCTAACAAACTATTATGCGTGTCTTCAAGATAACCATTCATCGAAATTCTGAGTGTATTTCTTTATTTTCTTTCAGGTAATTGGGACAACTCTGATGCTAGCCTTACGAGTGTTTCCTCAAGGCGGTGTCTTACCAACCATCCACACCATGCATTAGAACTCATGTCCATTCTCAATGACATGCGCATCGCCGGTGACATGATCGACCTCAAGGTTCTCTCGGGCGACCAGAAGTATCTCTGTCACCGAGCCATCATTGCGGCAGGGAGTCCTCTAATCATGAACCTTCTGGAATCGCAGCACATTAAGCTCAGGAAGAGGAGCAACAAACTTGTCGTGGATCATATCCGAGCGGACTACGTGAAGCAGATCATAGATTTTGTGTATACATCCAAAATGGGCATAGGTTTCCAGAATGCGCAGGAGATGCTTTCACTGAGTTTTGGACATTCCGCATTCTTGAACAAATCGATTGAGCTGGCCTGCAGTGATTATCTTGTCGGACAGTTCTGTCTTGACGCGGGAAGCGAGGCGTCTTCTTTGAGTGCTGTACCGTCATCGATTCTCTCTTCAGGAGAAGATGATGTGTCATCCAGTGGGACAGAGTGTAGCTTCCAGGAACATAACTATCCCTTAGAGGTTCTCCATGTTTTGAACGAACATCGCAAAAGCAAAAGGTTTACGGATCTTATTTTGTCCGTTGAGGAAGTGGCTTTTCCCTCTCACCGATCGGTCATGGTTGCAGTTAGTCCTTACTTTCGAGCGATGTTCACGTCAGGTATGAGAGAAATCCGCGAGGAGGAGGTCGAGTTAAAGGGTATCCGCAGTGATATCTTCGGCATCCTCCTGGACTTTATCTACACCTGTCGTCTTGCCATCAACGAAGACAACGCACAGGAGATGCTGGAGATGGCCAGCTTCCTGCAGATTGTCCCTGCAGTCAACGCCTGCAGTCAGTTCTTCAGAGACCAACTCGATGTCCAAAACTGTGTTGGAATCATCAACTTTGCCAAACTCTACAGTTGCGATCAACTCTTCGACCATGCCTTTCTGTTCATTCTCACATACTTCAAGGATATCATGCTCACCGACGATTTCCTACTCCTGACCGTCGACCAGCTCGCGTCTTTCATTCTTGACGACCGTCTGTCTGTGAAGAATGAGGAGCTCGTCTTCGAAGCCGTCATGCAGTGGCTCAAACACGATGTCGAAGGGAGAATGAAATCGATGCCAAAGGTTCTTCGGCATGTCCGATTACCGTTGATTGAACCAGAGTACGTCGAGCAATACGTCAAACACGACCCGATTTTACAGGTAGGCTAACTCATAATGAAATGTATCCAAGGAATATGTAGAGCACCACTATTTAGTTGTCTAATCTAAGGCGCCGATGAGACTGGAAAAATGACTGTATCTGCCGTCCATGATTCACCTGGGAAAGACTGGGGTAGTGGGTTGCTGTAAGCAATGTGGAATGTGTATTTCTTAATTTAGCTAGATAGTGTATCCCTTTCCCGAGCCTAAATGTAGAATAGTATGAATAATATGAAAAATCTGCTAGGAGCCACAAGGTCGTTGGCGACCTCCTGTTTGCCTCCCAACAATCGATTATTTGAAGCCTAACAATTATTCATTGACTATGAATCCTCGCAGGAGGATGCATCCTGCCAGGCCATCATTGGCGAGAGTCAGCTACTCCGGGAGAGGGGCGCTAGCTGTCATCACATCGATGATCCTAGACTCAAGCTACGGTACTCGATGACCACCGAAGTCCTGGTCACCGTCGGCGGTTTCGACGACCGACAGAGGTGGGTGCGGGACGTCTGGTGCTATAACCCCAAGGATTCGTCCTGGCACGCCCTAGCGCCCTTTCCGGGAAAGAACAGGAGGTTTGCTGCCGTGGCTTTTGACAACGATATCTACATCATAGCAGGGCAGGTATTGATCCATTCGTATCAAGGCGTCAATATAGATAGTGGTGTTTCGCAGGTCCAATTGCATAGGGGACACCAGTCATACACGTGGATAAAACATGAAATAATGAGGCAACCGATCAGGGGAAGTATTATGGGTGGGTCCTTTCTCAGTTTCTTTTTCTCTCCCTAATTTCTTTCCCCTTTATTCGCCTTTCGAGTTGGGGGCGTCCTCCTATTTCTACACCAATATGTAGAGTTCAGGTTTGAGTATGAACATCAGTATGGTCAGTAGTATTTTAAACAGAATGTTGTTATTTGAAATATTTGGATGTTTTTTTTCTTAGATAATAATCTATTAACATGAGCACAATAAGATAAGGCTGATTATATAATCGATCCTTGCTTCTCCATTCTTTCTTCGAACTATTACAGGCAGATCACGGTGATCGTATGTCTGAAACCCTACCTGATGTCTGGCGATACGACTCCATCACAAACCGCTGGTCCCAGGTGGCGAGCCTGAACACGCCCCGTTTCTCGCACGGCGCCGCTGTCGTTGACGGTTACATTTACGTAGTCGGAGGCAAGATGGGCTGGGCGAGACGATTTAACGATGTCGAAAGGTATGACCCAGCGAAGAATACTTGGACTATCGTCACTAGGATTAAAGGAAGCTACCTGGAGAAGCCTGTTCTATCATCTCATGAAGGTAATGGAGTAGGCGGTCAATCTTTTATCATGACTTGTGTTTGAAAAGTTTCGATTTGAATTCATCAAAATGCCGCCAAAAATCCACTCCACCATGTTCTCTCTCCTTATCACCCTATCCCGCTCTAGCCACACCCCTTCATTCTCCCGCCCTCTTCCCCCTCCCTCTCTCTCTCTCTCTCTTTTGTTGTATCTGTCGAGCTCCAAAGGATAACTTTGCTGAACGTTAAAAGGCAAAATCAGTCATTTTAAAACGTAAAGAACCATATAGATATATTTCAATTGTTAAAACAAGTAAACTTGTTTAAGTACCGGCTCTAATGAAAATGAACATAATAAGATGGTTAGAGTAATTGGTCTTCATAGTGGTTGACTCTTTACTTGATCTGAGTATTTAAGAACGACTCATGTGACATTAATAATGAAAGGCCGTCCTTCGACTTGAGTTGTTATACCTATAGATACACGATGTAACAATTGAAAATTCAAGTATAGATAGGGAATGAAGTTGGCTGGCAAGAACTATATTCCCCAAGTATGATTCTATAAATGTCGCTTACAGATTCCTTTTCTTTTCTTTCAATCACAGGAAAGCTCTACGTAAATGGGTACTTTTTCCGCGACCCGGATATCATGCACTGCTATGACCCGGAAGATGATAATTGGATACAGATGTTCAGTTTCCCGCGTGTTCAAGGAGACGGCATCGAGAACGCGGTCGTGGTCAATGACTACGTCTATTATCTGGTCTTCAGGGGATATGATAACTATGTGGTGGTCGTCAACCCGCTTACAGGGGAAAAAATGCGAGGTGATTGAAAAGTAGTTAAGGCTTAGGCGGATCAAGATTATATATTTGTTTAAATTAAATTAAACTGAATTTCTCGCAGGATCCCTAGATCCCTAGAAACTTTGATTTGGAATAGATCATTCGATGAGGGCCCATTATATATACATACAATGACACTAACACGGTCATCTGATGATGAAAATGACAGAGGACGCATTAATTATGAGACAATCCAGAATTAAAACATCATTCTAATTTCGTTGTTGTGCCTTTGTTTTAGAGACAAGCTATAACGTGGACGTTTCTGCGCGCAGGGTGTTGTTTAATTTCAAAGAAATGTAAATTCCGGACTTTACTTGGTGGCAGCACTGCGGAGGAGTGGGAAACCTCCCAACCCCATCGAATTCCATGAACAATTTTAAAAGGCTGAAATGAACTTGAGAGCGAGAGGAAAATAAAGACACTATGTAATAATCCGAATGATCTGAAAGTATGATTATCAAAATCTCCCTACATCCATTTTAGGGTACGTTTATGCTCAACTTTTTTTGGCCAGAATGAGGCATTTGTTAAGCGTTTAGTTCAAAACACGGTTGCATCCTTTCTCATTTTTGTAGAATCACCGAAAAACGGCGATCATAATCGCCGATCATAAACTCACAAAAGGGTGCGTTTTGGATCGGCGATTCTGGGGAAGCATAAACGCACAATCATTTGTAAACGCGTTTAAATGGGGTCAACGTAGCATGCGCAGTGTAGCTTTGTGAATCCAGTTGCAGAGCCAGAATCATGCCTGGAAGAGCCAGAGAAGTGAGCATAAACAGTACACCGTGGAACTGTGATTACGATGAGCGTTTCAAATCGCTCATTCTGTCTTCAAAGTTGAGCACAAACGTACCCTTAATCGTGCTCCCAAACGTTATTCGTCCAACGTTATATAGGTCAACGTTTTCCTGAGAAGAGAAGGGGGGGGGGGGGGTATTTTCGGGGGAAATGGTCCTAGAACCTTCGAAGATCGTAATAGCGTTATCTAAAGATTGTTACCTTTACGAGAAAAATTAATTCTGAACACCATTTTAGTTGGAATCAAATCAATTAAACACTTCATTTATACCATTAACCTATATCTTCTAACCTATGCTTTTCTCTTTTGTTTCCTTTTCTTGTTCTTTGTGCCTCCCAGAAAGTAGGATGATCGACGGGAAGTACCTGTACTCGTACGGCGCGACTGTAGTTGGTGATAAGATCTATATCGCAGGAGGTAGTAAACTGGATGCAAGTGTGAACGTGCCCTATCTGTTCTGCTATGATCCAGCTCTTGATGAATGGAGTACTGTGGGTAGCATCCCAACACCGCTCTGCGAACACGGGTGTGTTACCATTGAGAGGTACATGCCGCTCAAGCACTAGGCATAGGCCAGACGGTGCTAATTGGGCCGTCGGCGTCGTCGCTTTCGACAGTATTCTACTGTGCCTCTCTTCAAAAACTGTTTGGCAGGGGTTTTCAGACATACCTATGCAAAAGTCATTTGCCTAAATGTATTGTTCATATTGAATGCAGCATACTAGTTGTGAGTGACTATCTGTGCGATTGAAATGTATATATATATGGAAAAACTTTTATCTACAATGTCTAAGTTATAATATATCGATTGCCTTCTAGCTGGGATAGTATAATGACGAGCTAAATCTACAAACAATGAAAAAAGGAATTCAGCATCTTGGGATATTGTGTTTACCATAAGTATCAGCTTACATTGTGTTCCCTGTTCTCCTGTACAGAATTAAATTGAATATATTAGTTCATCTGTCATACAACACAAACTATTTTTCCATCGGTTGGACAGTAACAAATTTAAGAATTACACTTAACGAAGAAGTGTACAATGCCAAATATATATCATGTGATCACAAACAGAAAAAATACTAGAGAGGTTTAAGCAAGTTACGAAACCAATGTGTGTCAAAACAATTAATACAGGAAAAGGAAATTCATCTCATTATCTCATGTTAACGACATCCTAAACTGTGTGAATAATTTATATTTGATTCAGATTACACCCCCGCCTCCCCAACACTATTGTCTTACATTGGGTACACAAAATTGAAATCAAGATGTCCAATAAAAGTGTAAGTTTAAGGCGGTGGTGTAGCTAGATGGGGTGTGACACCCCACCTCCTGAGAAAATTACCTGTCTGCTCAATTGAATTTAAAGGCCTTTTAGGCAAGTCCGAAATAATAAACTTTTTGTTTGCTATTTGTTGGAAGAACTTGTAACCTCCGTTGGCAAATTTGAAAAGGAGAATAGGTTTTTATCTTCGTCAGAAATAATCTACAAAACTTGGAACAGAACGAGGACTTGGAAAATGTTGGACCAGTTTGTTGACACCCCCTTCCCCTATTCAAAATGGTCTAATGACGCCCTTGATAGTCATCAGGGAGTTTTCGCACGACGACGCAAGTGCTGACACCCCGTACTAGCTCGACTCCCGACGTTAATACGGCTGAATAGGAGTCGTAGGTTTGGCTGCTACACTGTACGCGGAAATTTTCACTCTGAGTGCGACCCCCCCCCCCCCCCCCCCCCGCGAAGATTGGCGTTGTAGAAGGCCGCGTCGCCGGTTGCGAAAACTCCCTCCTGCCAAAGAGTGATAATACTTAAATTTGTATTCAGCAATATGCTCTTTATGCTCGTAGGGGATTTTATTTTCCTAACAAATCCTAAGGTCAGGAGAAGAACTATTTTAACAGTCGAATATTATAAAGGCGTTGCTATGAAGGCATGGGGAACATGTGCCACAATTGATTGTACGATTTAAACGTTTCTTTCAGGTTGCCAATTTCTGTCTGATTGAAAATATGAACTTCAAAGTTCATTTTTTTTTTTCATTTTTAGTCGGATTTTGCTTAAACTTTCACTGACCCGTTCCTCTCATTTTCTGCTTTTAAAACTAACTTTCCCATTACGTGGGTAAGAAATACTCGAAATCAGTTTATACGAGGAGGATGCCGACAGAGAGAGAGAGAGAGAGAGAGAGGGGGAGAGAGAGAGAGAGAGAGGGGGAGGGAGAGAGAGATAGTAGGTAGAGTGGAAAGGGTACATAGGCAGTAGAGGTGGGTAGAGCAGTGAAGAAAAGATAAAGAGAGAGAGAGAGAGAGAGAGAGAGAGAGAGAGAGAGCCAAGAGTTACAGCCTTACAGGAAGTATTACAATGCATTTTTATATGCGTAAACTGACATAATGAAGATAAATTAATCTTTCCAGCTCAATTGATATACAAACTGAACATCAGATCATAGTCGATAATAAACAGGACAAAAATGGGGGCAAGAATATCTTCTCATTCTCATTTCTAATCCCCCTCCCAAGCATTAGAGTGGCACGTCCACCCCACCCCTGTGTCTACGTCACTACATTCACGATCTCAACATTGTCCTTTAATGGAGAGTACTTAGTCCTTCTGACAATAAGGATGAGCAGATATGTTATAAATGGAAAAAGAAAAGAGTTCACTTTAAGATGGCTTAAGCATGTATTTGAAAAATGTATACAAATATTGTTTTGACATTACATGTAGTTGTATTAAATCAAATGTGAATTGTTTGTTTGTTATACAAATAAAACGTATGGAACAAGAAGGAAGAAAAACAAAAATCGCTGTTTAATTATTTTATTTTGCATCAAATTCTCGTTTGTACCCTAAGTGTGGACTCAGATTGCTGATATACTGTATTCTAGTGATTTAATAATGAAAATGTATCAATATGAACATTTCGCCACATCTTCATTCCATTAGGGAACACGGATATGCTGTATATTTCGATGCTTCGATAATGCATGAGAACTATACATATGATAATTGCGAAGGTGATGATCAGGATGACGATGACAAAGATGTTGATTATGAAGACGATATATTATTATGTTTAACATCGTATTGATAATGTTGTTAATGAGAATGAGCAGGATGATATTAATAACGTTGATGATGATGTCGATGATGATCGTGGTGGTGGTGATGAAGTTGATTATGATGGTGATGATGTAGATGATAATGACGACGACGATGATGTCGATTATGGTGGTGATGATAATGATGATGATTTTGTTGATGATGAAGGTGAAGAAGATAATGATGTTGATGGTGGTGTTGGTGGGTAATCTTGATGATGATGGTGGTGATGATGATAATGATACCCTGAAATTCACGATGATGAAGCAGAGGTTAATCGTGATGATGGCAAGATTGTTTGAGCATGATGATTAGCCTGCGATGAATGCTAAAAGAAATGTGGCTTGCAGTGGTGATAAAGTTGATAAGTTATGTTGGTAACGACGACGATGATGATGATGAAGATGATAAAATGTACACGTAGATCGATGATCATGATGATCAATGATTGAGAGTGATGATAGCTGGTCATAAGAAAGACAGAGGTGTAGATAATCATGAAAATAAAGATAATTACGTTCATCCAGGGCAATTGTTCTTTCTCTCTCACTCAATCTTTCATTCTCTCTATCCCACGATATCTATTTTCTCTCATTATTCCTTCATCTCCACCCATCACATTCCTCTCTCTCTCCGTGATGTCTCTCTCATGCCCTCTCTCTATTTTCTCTTTCTGTTATTCTCTCCCCCTCTCTATCACTTTCTCTATTCATCAATCTCTCTCCCACTCTCTGATTCTCTCTTCCTTCTTTCTTAATCTCAACCACCCCCATCTCTCCCTCTCTCTCTCTCTCTCTCTCTCTCTAACTCGCTCTCACTCACTTTCTTATATTATTAAACCATATCCCAATTACCAAAAGTAACAATACCACACTTATTGAATGTAGACAAGCCATGAATGGTTAAACAAATTTAACATATATTTTCAACATCCAACAAGATGCCTCAACATAATTATACCAACATTGAAATAAAAAACATAGTTCATAAAGCACCTTATTTAATACTAGCTAACATGAAAATATGGCTGTAATAATAACTTCAATGTACATGTAAATACTCATTGTAAAGCGTACAAACTCTAGTTTCAGAAAATAACATTATCATGAATACGAGAAAAAAATAATGATAAATATTTGGCAACATATTGATAGATTTTAGTAGGCAGGTTTCATAAATTGCTGCTTTGAGTGAAGAAGGCATGGCACTGGTGTGGAATGGCAAACCAGTGGCTCATGTAATTGATTATACGAGGTGTAAACATTTGGAATTCCGGGAAACTTTACAGAATATCTGTCATCATTATTATATTTATATCAGGTTTTATCCTCCCAGATTTCTGTCAGGCTCCCAGATTCTGTTTCCCATTCTAACTCAATTCCGTCACTGATATGTACTCCTGCCATGCCCATGCCACACCCCTCTAACCAATACTGTGTTATGTGTGACATGCTGACTTAAAAAAGGTCATCAAAAGTCTTTTTTGATATTAATATGTAAATTAATATGTAAAAAATATGTACATTTTCTAAACCTAGATAATATGCACATAATAATATGGTCAAGGTACAATGGAAAAAAAGTAAGAACAGATAAACAAAGCAATTTTAGCATAGCGAAAAATAGAAGTGTGCAGCGTCACATCTAAAACACAAAATGCATACTTGCTGACAATGACAAATATATTGTAGAACCATATCATCAAGATATGGCTGTTTACTAGTACCTCCAATACCTTGATAAGGCTTTTCTATTAATGAAACTATCATTCAGATATTAAACTGAAAGTACAATTTTTAATTCATCAATATCACCACCCGTTATGATTTTGCATTCCAAAAGCGCTTAATACGCTTTACTACACTTTGTTATCCCCCGTAAATAACTTGTCACAACTCACAGACATTCTTTAGGATCCGTGAAAGGAGGGGCAAATTTGTTGACATGTCAAAAATCTTATGATTGCCAACGGATTGATTTTTCCGTAAATAGCTCGTAACAATCTGTAAGTATCATAAACCGCTTGCAACAACGCGAAACTATCCGTAAACTGCTTGCAAGAATTCATATATGACTTGTAGCAAAAACTAAGGATTTGTTACGGTTAGTTTACGAGAGCTTACGTGTTGTTTAAGATTTTATAAAGGTCGTGTTACAATACATTTACGGATTGGTATAGGTTATTACGAGCATTTTAAGTGTAGTTACAAGTACTTTACGAATAGATACGTATATTTTATGTATTCTTACGAGTTGTTTACGATTTCGGGAAAGGTATAAAAGCTGCAAATTCTAACACTTCATTTTCAGTTCTTGGCTAAAAATCGTAAGGAGTCGTAAATACTCGTAACAACACGTAACAACACGTAAACAGATGGTAACTAACACGTTAATTGCTCGTAGTTATCCATGACAACTCTAAACAAATCGTAGAATTTTGCCGTACAAACATCGTTATAACTCATAATAATCCGTAATGAACCGTAAATGGCTCGTAACAACTCTTAAATCCATTGTAAAATGGCCAACTCGTAAGGACCCGTGAAAGATCCGTGAATTTGTGCGATCCGTAAGGACTCGTAAGAAAAATCTGTGTATGTGAATTCATCAACGTCTATCCAATCCTTAACTTTCTAGATTTTGCACTAGACTTTCATCTCATACTTAGACAGTAAGTACCACAGGCATTAAACATAAATAAATTACGTACAACCTGTTTTTTTTTAAAAACTATTGTTGGTAAAGAAGTGAGATTCTGAATACCATTAAGGATTAAGCATACTCCATCTACACCCTCCCTCTCCCTCACAGTCCTTTCAAATTTTCCAACAGTGCGCATTATCCAGAATGTTGAGGATAGTGACCGAAGAATTCTTTGAGTAACATCAAGTATCATCCTCACATCATATCAAAGATGGTTCAACATCCAATCTTCAATTCAATTCAATTCAATTTTATTTCTATTTCCAGCAAAACATTACAAATCAATTACAATCACTTACAACAATTTACATGTACATACACATTTACAACAATAGAGTCTTCATTGAAATATTACAACAGAAGTCCATCCGCTGAATCATGAGGCATGCTACTCACTGTCTCCTTGACTGTAGCACCAGAAGTGGTGTTTTTTGGTAAATCAATGTTTAGATTTTTAAGAGTTTCCCAATGCCACATAGTTTCTATTCTGTGCATTTTGTGACTTTGTGAAACATACTGCATCAAAGTATTGCAACTGACTTCCATCTGCTTAACCCTCAAGCATACACAATACCTCTTGGGGAAATATCAGCATCTAAGGTCAGATAGTGACTTATGACTTGCTTGAAGGACGTTGAGTCGCATCCTTCCTCCCAACATCATAGACGGTTCAACATCGATCCAATCTTGCCAACCTTCATCAAAATACTGCAACATTAGTCCATCCGCTAAGTCACGAAGCATGCCACACACTGCCTCTTTGACTGCTGCACCAGATGCGGTACTCTTGGGTGAATCGATGGTGAGCACCTGCTTATTGTTTCCCAGCGCCACAAGGTATTTGAGCCTGTGTTTGTTCTGACTGTTACTGGTTGAAGTCTGATGGCTCAACTCTGCCCTAAGATTTGTTTGAATGAAGTTGAGTCGCATCCTTCCTTCCAACATCATAGACAGTTCGACATCGATCCAATCTTGCCAATCTTTATCAAAATACTGCAACAGTAGTCCATCCGCTAAATCATGAAGCATGCTACGCACTGCCTCTTTGACTGCTGCCCCAGATGCGGTACTCTCGGGTGAATCAACAGTGAGTACCTGCTTATTGTTTCCGAGCGCCACAAGGTATTTGAGCCTGTGATTGTTCTGACTGTTAGTGGTTGGAATCTGATGGCTTAACTCATCCCCAAGACTCGTTTGAATAACTCGGAGTTGCAGCCCCCCTATCAGAGCCATTAAAGGTGCAATGTCGACCCAGTCTTGCCAGGATTTATCAAAGTATTGCAACGAATGTGCATCCAATGAAACTTGAAGCTTGTGACAAATTGCCTCTTTTAAGTTCTCACCTTTGACAGTTTCGGAGGGTGAATTGATGGCACATTCTACCTTGGTGTTCCCCTGAGTCACATGGAATTTCAGTCCATACATTTTCTGCAACAAGAAAAATAAGAAAGAAAATATGCAAGATGTCTCTTCTCGTTATTTACCTTTTCATGCTTGTGATGAGAATTTGATCCAAAATATTCCTTTCTCTAATACAGTGTTCTTGAAAGTGAACCCCCTGATTTGGTTTGTGATCAGGGCAATACTCACTGAACTCTCGCTTTGAGTTGAAGCACACTAACAGAACCATTTAATATTTTTATGGCGCACATATCCATCATGCAAAGTGCTTAAAGGCACTCTAGTATTACCTTTACCCTAGCTTGGCTACCGAATTAACTTAGCTAATGTAGAGTACTGGTAAGGGACACCAAATAATGTGCGCATAAGGCACATCTCAAGCGCGTAGCGCCCGACCCATGCGGCCGGGGTCCAGGGCCCATCTGAGGGCCCTGGAAGCTCTGGGGTTCTAGATACTCTCTGGTGCAATCTGAGCCTTATTTTGCAGCATTTTACATGTGTATTTAGTTAAATAATTCCCACTTTTTAAAAAAATAACATACAAATTGTACAAAATGCATGATGAATTCCTTTCAGACTTCCAAATACACGGGTACTTGATACTGTATTCGGTCTTATACTTCTGATCCCATTTCTTGGTCTTCTTTTGCTGATTTTCCGCCATTTGGATTCTGTGTCAATATCCACGCATTGGTTACGGCGATCCATATGCTGAAACAATCTTTTGCTACTCTTAATTTGTCTTTTAACATACTGTAAGTGGAATTACTACATGCTAAAGTTAACAGACAATATTTCTCATTCATTTTTTTTTTTTTTTAATCGGGAGGAAAAAGATGGTGATCGTAAGGTCGGAGTTGGGGTGAATTATCGGGAGTCTCCCGATGAAATCGGGAGGGTTGGCATCTCTGCCCCCCCCCCCCCGATGGGTCCACACAACTGTTGATGTTTTTTATGCCTCCGCTACAATGTTTTGGGGTTGTCTGTCCGTCCGTAACTCGCGTTATCTCAAGAACCAATTGATGGATTCTCCCCAAACCTGGGTCATGTATGTATCTTGCAGAGCCAATGAACTGATTGGATTTCGGGGTCACGAGATCCAAGGTCAAAGGGCTCACTATGTATGCAAAAATAGCTTGTGATCACATTATCTCAAGAACCAATCGATGGATTCCTGCCAAACTTGGGTCATGTACATGTATCAGTATATATCTTGCAGAGCTAATGAACCAAGAAGATGTGGGGTTCACAAGGTCAAATGTCAAAGGTCACAGGGCTCAAAATGTATGCAAAAATCAGCTTGTGATCACGTTATCTCAAGAACGGATTGATGGTTTCCCTCCAAACTTGGGTCGTGTTTGTATCTTGCAGAGCCAATGATCTGATTAGATTTCATTTTACAGCTAAAATTACAAGAAATGATACATTTACTTTTCATATCCCCCTACCCCCCCCCCCCCTCGAGACAACGTTAAAATATATAATTATATGTGTCTAATTTTGCAAAAAGTGACCATTATTACAACCAAAAAATTTCCAATGGCTATTGGAAAAAGAGTCAAAGAATACATGTGTGACTTACCAATCATGGGGTCCTCACATTTAAAAATCATCATCAAACTGTGCTCGAGTAGAACAGGGAAAGCAGAACTGTGCTCCAGTAGGTATTTGAACAGGAAAAGCAGAACTAATGAATACAGTAACTTTTGTCATAAAACTCCAAATTCGCAACATATTTACACAGACTGCGAGAGTCTTGACTACTTCTTGTAGATGTTTACAACGCAGTTCTGGATATTGAATGTAGGGGCTTAGACTTGCTGGCTTGAAAAATGGGCATGGCTACTTGCAGTGATGTTGCATGAAAGAGGGAAGATCTCTGGATTATTTGTCATCTCATTCACAATTTGATTTACTTCTCGAAGTGCCACCAGTGGATGTTGATGACCATGGTACTGATTTCGGATCAACATCTGCCGCGATAGCACAACTTGTGTTCTCTTTTGTTTCACTGTTGGTCAATGCATAGTGCCCGAGACTGCTTTCTGAGCGATGTCCATACACACTCATGATCTCCCTCAGAACCTTGCATTTTGTAGGGTACTGATGCTGGTTGCCCTTAGGCAATGGTTGGTGTAAGCCTTGGTGCCTGCACGAGATGAAATTGTTTTCATCTTTTCTCCGATGGTGTTTTTCCCTAGGGATGCATTACTGTACCATGGACCTGAACAAGATGGCTTCAATTCAAACTTGTGCTGTGCTGGTCTCTGCCAAAACCATTTACATTGGGGGTTCAATTTATCTTTGTAGTGTAAGAAGGAGGCAACAGGACATCGTGGACCATTTGTTGGAGTCATGACACCATCTTGGTTTTTCTTTAGTTTATCAGGACGGTTGTTCTTTGTGAGTGTATCTTTGAGAGTTATGTAGCATTTCCCACCTAAGGCTTCCTCACAAATTTCAAAGCTGTCGAGTGTCATTTCGCGTAAATTCTGCCTCCCATGAATGCAAAAATACAACATAACATCAATAAAGACCTTGTCCTGAAGACCTACAGGATCATCCAAATCAAGCGAACCTTGGATTTTTTCCATGTCTTCTTGTGAGATAGCTTGTTTGTGAGCCACAACTCCCTTTCCTTTTTGTTTAAGCATTGCTGAAAAATTCTTAAAAACTTTCATCGAATTCGTAAAGTCTTCATGCTTAGCAATGTTCACCTTCTTAGAAATGAGGAAATAACGCTGAAGTCCGAATCTAATACATAACATTGTCTTTTGGGTGTATAGAGAACCGTTCTTCCGTCTAGCACCAGCGTAAAACCTTTGGAGCACCTTGTCCAGCTCCGAATTCGGCAGTTTGTTAACACTATCGAGGTCTGTGTTGATAATTTGCAAGTAGTCTTCAAAATTCTTATAGAGAATTTCACAGAATTTTTGGTGTTCTTGCTGCCTGAAGGATCAATCAAGTCTTGTAATTGAAAATCATCAAGAAGTTCAAATCTAGGAAGAGTCGCTTCAGCCATTTTTGCCTCCTTTGGAAATAAAACAAAGATACAAACATGACCCAAGTTTGGCGGTGATCCATCAATGGGTTCTTGGGATAATGAGATCACGAGCTGTTTTTGCATACATAATGAGCCCTGTGACCCCAAACTCTACTCAGTTCATTGGCTCTGCAAGATACATACATGACTTAAGTTTGGTGGGAATCCATCAATCGGTTCTTGAGATAATGCGATCACGAGAACGGGACGTACAGACAACCCAAAAACATAATGGCCCGAATTCACAAAGGAGGTTTAGATTTAACCCAGGCTAAATCGCGTCATAATACGTCATAACCCCGAGCTTTAGACCATGGGTCATTATTTTGGTATTCACAAAGGAAGTTTAGATTTAACCCAGGCTAAATCGCGTCATATTACGTCATAATTTTAGCCTGCTCAGAAGGGTGGTTTAAACAGCGGGCTAAATCTAACCCACGGTTTAACCCACGGTTTAACGCGTCATATGACGTCATACCAGCGAGCTTTGGCTTTTTAGCGCAGACGACCGTACAAATTTTGTTGACAAATTTGTGGTGAAACAAAGTGAAGAGACCTTCACAAAGTTGCTGTTTTTTCAACTTTGATAGCCTACATTGTAAGTATTTTTAGTTATTCACAACATATTTGTACCATATTCTCAGTTCTGCTACAATGGAAGCCCAATTGAACATGATTTATGTGCGTAAAAAGTGCACGAATAATAATCTTCATCGTAAGTTGCACAGCCTTTGTGAACATTGTCGCAGAACCTAACGCAGCTCGGACCCATGCGTGTGTATTTGTGTTGTGTTGTTTATGTAATCCTGCGAGGCAAGCCAATTTCGCAATAACTGCGAATGTGCCAGCTAACAATTCGAAATTAGTTATAACATCACACAATTGTGTGATTCGGGAAGAAAAATATGTTAATCATGACATTTAAGACATTCCTGGCCTCGGGGGGTGGTAGCGACAGTTCCATTTGTATTTTAATTTTCTGCTCTGCTGATGCTGCTTCTCATCTGACTAACGGAGGAGAACGAAAAATGCCGAAATGAAAATGAAAATAATATACAGAGGCCTGGTCTAGACCTAGATCTAGACTAGTCTCTAGTACTACTAGGCCTACACTGACACTCAGTACTGACTGAATAAGACTTGAGCTTGAGCTCGAAGTCGGTGGCAGTGAGACACGCAAACACGACGTGGGCCTAGGCTGGATGATAGATCTAACTTTTTGTTAGGCCTAGGCCCTCTAGATCTATCTAGATCTAACTTGTTAGTCCTCAGTCTCAAGAAATTAGTCAAAGCACGCCAACCATGGCATGAATTTATTAAAAGTATTTTGTAAATTATTGTAAAAGATGCAGATCTAGATCTAGAGGTCTAGAATCTAGACCTAGATCTAGTCTAGACTAGGCCTAGATCTAGCCTATTCTAACTGTTAGATTTAGAAATTGAAATGGAATAAAATATTTTTCAAAAATAGACCTAGATCTAGAGATCTAGGCCTAGGGATCTAGTCTAGAGAGGTCTAGGTCTAGTCTAGTACTCTAGACTTTCTAGATCTAGAACTAGTAGACCTAGGCCGTAGGGTCTACCGAGTACCGGTACTATAGGTCTAGATCTAGACCTCAGGCTTTAGATCTAGAATCTAGTCTAGACTATGTGGTCTAGACCTTTCTAAACCTACTTTTCATAAATTCATGCCAAGCCCGCGCCGATGGTTTGTTGTGTTGTGTCTTGAGAAGTTGAGTGTTTGTGTGTCTCACCGTCACTGAGTTCGAGCACAAGTCTGAGCTGAATGAGAGGTAGATCTAGATCTAGACTAGACTCTAGTACTGACTGTCGAATGTCTCTACACTCAACTCCTACAAATTTATACTAACTTAGTATAAATGACTACATCATGATCATATAGGCCTAGAGTCTACATCAATACATTGTTGTACTTGAAGTTTGAAGCAAGTTTAAAATCTGTGCAAGCAAATAGCCAATAAATCAATGTGTGTTCTTCCTAATCTACATGTAATCTTAGTCAAATTCAACCTTTCACATGGGACATCTAGACTAATGCTAATTTACATGTACATGAATCTAATTTCACATTTTATCAAGCATGAGTAGATTTTTAACAAAACATGACAGGAATTGGCCCCTACGTTCTTATGGAGGTTCAGTGACATCATCTTTCCTAATTACCCAATAGTATGAATCAGTAGCACTCATTTCTTTAATGCAATCAAAGTATCGTATTTTTTTTAGAGTTTGCAAAAGCTATTCAAAATCAGATTGTCTACAATACAAAGAATGCAAAACATGTAATATCATAGGATTTATTTGATAAACAATGAATGATATTTTTTCATTTCATGTTCTAATTTTAATTCACTTTTTTCTATTTTGTTGTGACAGAGACAGCATGGCTGAATATATTCACCATCTCCGCCAGCTTGATCGGAACAGAGAGTTGATAGGCAGACCTCAGAGGCCTTCGTGACCCATGAACCCTTTTGAAGTGTATGATGATGAGTCATTTTGGACCAGGTACTGGTTTTCCAAAGAGACAGCGCTCTACCTCATCAACTTGGTGGATGAAGAGCTGAGGAGGACGACAGACAGAAACGACCCAATACCTATACAGGTAGTGACAGCACTTCGATTCTATGCTGTTGGTGAGTAATTTACCTTATTTAGTATTTAGTAAATTTCTATTTAATTTGGGCTGAGCGAAAAAATAAAAGGGTAAAATTGCGGTTACCATGTTTTGCGGGAGGTTTTTTCATAAACCGGGAGATTCTACATCAAAGCGGGAGGAAGGGCGTGGTGGCGTGAGACTCCCTCTAAATGCAAGAGGGTTGACAGCCCTGATTTAATAAAAAATCTATTCTACAATTTCAAGGACATTAAACATTTCTCAGTTTGAGAATTTGATCTGGCCATGTAACTTGTAAGAAATTGTACTAGTTGATATTTCACTAAAAGGATTTTTTTTTTACAGGGTCATTCCAAAAGATGCATGGTGATGAGGCACAACTTTCACAGTCTTCTGTATGCAGAGTCATCAAAGACGTGTCAGAAGCGTTTGCAAGAAGAAGGAAACAATTCATGAAGTTCCCAACATCAAGAGAAGAAGTAAAAGCAACACAGCAGCAGTTCTACCAATACTGCAGGTTGCCAGGTTTTCTAGGTGCAATTGATAGGACTCATGTCTACATCAGGAGTCCTGGTGGAGATCAAGCCCTGTATTTTATTAATAGGAAGAACAGATACTCTATTAATGAAATGAAAATTTTCCCTTTTTTTGGAGATGCTCCCCATTTACTTTTAATCCAATTAATTAAATGACCGATATGGAATTGGTTCACCCTTTAGTTTCTCTGAACGAAACGTACACCCATGCAGTACTGTGGGCTGAAACAATTAGACCGGATGATTTGAAATCTAATGGTTGATATAGTTCCTCCAAAAAACATTTTTGCAAAAGGTACCAACCACTTTGAAAGGGAAATCGTCATCATCTTCATCATCATCAACATCATCACTGAAATCGTTATTTGACTGCTTCATCACCATCGCCACCGACAACATTGCTGTCATCATTATCATCACTGACATCATCATCGACTTCAACATTGCCTTCGTCAATAACCTTGAATACTTGTTTTGATTATCCATATTAAATCGTCAATATTTAAATATAAATTTCTCTTGTTTGATGGTGTGGTTATTCTCGTGAAATCATTAAGTTAGGAGGTAAACGTTTTACAAGTGAATGACCTACTTTGTTTATGTTGTTTAATTATTAATATACCATTTGCTGTTATCTATTACTTATAATTAATTTCGCTAAATCCAAACACCTGTGCAGTACAACATTAATAGAGAGAGAGAGAGAGCAAAAGATAAAGAGAGAGATGAAGAAAGAAGGAGAAAGGATATGTGTGAGAGAGAGGGGTGGAGAAAAAAGAAAGAAAAGGGGTACGAGAGGGATTTAAAAAAATGGAGTTCTAACAAAATAAAAAGATATTTGAGAGAGGTGGGGTGGAGAGCTGGTGAAAAAAGAGAGACAACAAACAAAAACAAGGAAGGTGAAAGAGTGAGAAGTAGAGACGAAATTTACAAAAAAAGTTCTTTTCTTTTTGTTTAAATCACTATTCCCTTGAGAAATTCAATAAAGCAGAAAAATTAAGAAAAAAAATGAACGCCCCCCTAAGTAAAGAATTAATACAGCAAATAAACAAATTCAGAAAAAATTAATGCCCCCCCCCCAAGAAAACAATTAATGCCCCATCCCCCCTAAGAAAAATTAAAAACAAAATTACCCCCACCCCCAGTAAAGCCCCACCCCCTATGAAAAATTAAGAACAAAATTAACCCCCCTCCTCCCCCCTCAAAAGAAAAACCCATCCCCTAAGAAAACAATTAATGTCCCCTCCCCCCCCCCCCCCCCCCGAATTAGGCCTAATAATTCTTTATCACATGTCAAGACTGCCTTGTTTTTGCTGTCCTCCTATTTTATATCCAGTAAGCCCGGTTTTTTTTTATCAATACATCTATGCATTTTATGCATTAATGCCAGTATTTTCTATCAGATAGTATTTATCGTAACCTTTCAGCCCTTTCTTTCTACATCATCAACACATTCTGGACTAAACGTCATCGATCGCTTTCGCTGCCTCTACGGAGTCTACTCTTACTTCGGATTGATTAATTGCTAAACTAAAGTGTGACCTACGCTCTAAAATCATCATAACAATCAACGAAAATGTGATCATATAGGTATACCGATCATATAGCTCTAAAATGAACACTACACCATAGAAAAATTTCACTCTGGTATAAGGGTTGTTTACAAAGGTTTTTTTGTTTACTCTTCCACGAAAATTGTCGATGTTTAGTGTGTTGTGATGCCCAGCTGATCATAATTATGTCGGACGATTATAGGCCATAAATTAACAACGATAGTGAGGAATTATTGAGGTAATTTATGCGAAATTCGGTAATATTTTGAGGACATCTGTCAGAGAACTGTTTTAGTATGTGAATAGTGGTTTAAAATCTTATCTCAACTTAAAATCGGTCGGTTTTCAGTCTCTACTTGTAGGCGAAGAGTAATAGCCCAAATACAACTGAATCTGGACTTAGCAGACGACGGTGAACTAGGTGGAGTAACCAAGTGTACTGAGCGCGCATGCTCAGTTCAATGCTTCAATTCTGCGCATGCTCAGTTTATTTTTTTGCTCTCTTAGGCATGCTTAAACCGTGGGTTAAACCGTGGGTTAGATTTAGACCATGGGTTATCTAACCCACGCTTTGTGAATACCGAGCGAGGTTTAAACCGTGGGTTAGATTTAGCCTGGGCTAAATAACCCAGGGTTAGATTTAGCCTGGGTTAAATCTAAACCTCCTTTGTGAATTCGGGCCAATGCCTCCAGCTACTTTGTAGCGGAGGCATAAAAATGAGAGAATGCGTTGATTTATTGAAAAACGAGAGAACGCGTCTTCACTCCTCTCCCACATCATTTTGAGCGTAAGCTTGCACGTATAAAATGTGGGTTGGCTTTTTTCAGTGTGAATGAATTGCCTACCGAGAGGATTATATCGGGTTCTTGAAGATAGAGGGAGCCAAACCAGCGAAACAAGAGGTTTAAACTTTTTTTGAAGACGACCCGACCGTTGAAGATGTTTATTTTGATTTTTTTCTCTGAGATTACACAATTTCTTTCGAATTCCTCTAGCAATAGTAGTTTATATGTACTGCTTCACAATTAGTGTGAATTTGAATAGAAACTGTTTCCATGTTTTTTTCACCATTAACAGAACTTAACTTTATGTTTAGCTTTTACGGACGTTCTGCAGTAGTGTCCGTGTGCACTTAAGCTGCGTAAGGGCACCATAACCAGAAATCAACCTTATGTTCAACTTTTACGGACGTTCTGCAGTAGTGTCCATGGAAAACTTACAACATAATTTCCAACATTTGAATATTTACTTTTGAACCGATCCATGGTCCACCATTTTGCCTTGGAGCTCTGTCGCTGTTGGTTTGCTGGGTTGATCTTGGACTTTCAGCCTCCAATCTTGGATGTCCACCTAAAAAGATAGAGAAATAAAATATCACTTATTTACCTCTAAAAGAAATAGAAATAAAGTGGAGATTGTGCACTGCAAGTGTGTAATAACTGAACTATCTGAAGTAACTATCTGAAACGAAAGAGAAATAAAATATCACTTATTTACCTCTAAAAGAAATAGAAATAAAGTGGAGATTGTGCACTGCAAGTGTGTAATAACTGAACTATCTGAAGTAACTATCTGAAACGAAAGAGAAATAAAATATCACTTATTTACCTCTAAAAGGAATGGAAATAAAGTGGAGATTGTGCACTGCAAGTGCTAAATAATAGCTGAATCCAACAACAGGGATAAATTGTCATTAAAAGAATATATTCAGTGCGAGTCAAAAAAGTTAACACATAGAAAGTTGCTAATTATTTGAAAAAAAATCATCTATGAACAGTAGTTTAGTATACATCATTATGAAAGAGTGTTTTATCCATTTAGTATCATTTTTGAGTGATATGTGTTCATGCTTGGATGAACAAGAGGCACTGTTTGCGAGAGTGCAAAAATTGACTTGCGCCAAATATGCTTATGTGATGTCTGAATAAAGCGATTGGGATTTGGGTAATAATTTGGTCTTTGCAGATCCAAATAACATCCCTAACATAATTAATCATGCCACACATATCAAATATCAAAGAACATTTGTGCTTGTGTGTGTGCGTAGGTAAACGCCATCAACCGCGGACCACTCCATAGAAAACTACCTCAAACCGCGGACGTACCTGCAATGGGGGACCGTCCACGGTTGCGATACCAGTTTTGCCGTATCAAATTTACGACGTAGGGGGCGTTTGAATATTAGATGTCACAGCGTGTAGGCATCATCGAGTGGATCAGTCCTATGTGTATCGCGAAATGTCACAGCGCCCCCTTCGATGACTGCGCGGGAAAGGCGCGCTACCTGCTATCATCCCACAGCAGGTACGTCCGCGGTTTGATGTAGTTTTCTATGGAGTGGTCCGCGGTTGCTGGCGATTACCCATGCACACACACACAAGTACTAAACTTGGTCCACGTTTGACGCCATAAACGTGTAGTGGTGTGTGTGTATGTGACTTTGCTTCTGCAAAAAGCATACTGGTATGCAATGCATTTTATTTGATACATTCAATAAATTAATTTCCTCACTTTAATTCTTTGGGCGTAGCCTAGTCGATTTTATTTATGAGAGGCTTTACCTGATGTCAAATGCACATGTGCATAATCATCATCTTGACAATCATCTTCCAAGTATTCTTCCTTCACATATAGGGTCTGGTAATCTCCTTCTTCAAACTCGTCAATCATCTCTTCCTTGATTCTTCTCAGGATGGGTGTGTTGCTTCGTTCTCTTTCCTGAAAGTTAACAGATTTATCTCTTTTTTTTAATTTTTCTATATTTTTCTTTTTTCATTCTTTTCATACTATTACAGTAGTAGAAATTCTTAGAAATAATATCCTATGAAAAAGACGACCCATGAAATGACCCCCCATTTCAAATATGACTAGAAATAGTTGACAACTTGGACCACATTCTGATGCCACATACAGGGGTGTATAGTACTTTTGTAGTTCCCTGTACCCATATTTACATGTAAATTGTTTGTGATATTCAGGAAGATACAGTAAATTTCGATTCGAAAAATGAATTGAATTCCGATACAACCAACCATTCAGGTTTTTATTTCTAGACAGCTTACTTTGCAATAAGGTGGAATAATGAGTCTTCAATATTATCTTTAATTGAATTAATATAAATTTTCATACATTTCACCAGTTTACCAGAATATTGTGCATTAAAAGATACTTTTCAGCAGTACAAACTTACCTGAGATTCAGCCACAGTGGTTTCCTCCACATCGCCTTTAGACCATGCTACAATGTTTGACCCACCAATATGTCTGCAAAGAAAATGAACAAGTAGAAGCTTGTAAAGCCCCGTCTTAATAGAACTTTTTCGATCTCACCCGAGCGACATGTGGATGAGAAAGAGTGGGGTGTCTGATCGTAAAACACGGGGTGAGCTTTTGGACACCTTCTTAATCAGCCTTCCGCAAAAAACTGACTCGGTTAGGTTACCATAACAACCGCACCTCCCTCATCGCGATAGGCTGGCGCACGCTGTGTACATGTATACATTTTTTCATGGCGATGACGTCATTTACCCGGGTAAATATCACCCTGGCTTGTCTAGGGTGAGATTTACCTCGATATTGTCTGGACGTTAACCCGATTGACGGGTCTTAATTGGAAGGGGTTAAATGCCATCCAGACGACGTCCGGACGTCACCTCGACTTTATTTTCCAGTTAAGACAGGGTTTAAGATACCTCAAAGATTACAGGCAACTCTAGCTCATTTCTTATATGACCCATCAAATCTTACGTGTCAAACGTGTACAACTTTGTAATTTTTCATTTGAAATCTTTGTAAAAAAAATGAAACTAATACTGTTGTGAGTCTGTGGATAACTTTGCAACCATTCATGCTTGATATCTAAAGTCTCGGTCACAAATGCCATTACGAATTGCTACGAATGCTGTAAGAACGATTTTCAGACAATGGAAATTTGAAAAGACAAGGGAGATTCGTACGAACACATCGTTCGTACAAACCTTTGTGACCGTAGCTTTAGTTCAAATGATATTAAACCGACTCCTATAATACGTACACATCAGAAGGTTCACTGGAATCCATGAACTCATCCTCTTGCACTGCAGGGGTGTCCTCTAAGCACCAACCAAGACCATCCTGTTCCAATTCACCGTCATCACCACATGATGGTTTATCAAGATCTTGTGTAGAAGAGGTAGAAGCAGTCTGAGTGGAGTGAGTAGGTGGCTGCTTCTCCCACTGAGTGGAGGCATCCTTGGATTGTACTAGCTTTCTCGGTAATTCAATCCAAGTCAGGTCCGTCATCGTACCTACCATTTAAATGTTTACAAAATGAAAGAATTTGTTTACTTTTCATTATTTCTGTAGTATGCATCAGCTTATATAGTACTTACATTATTTGTATCACTTCTCACAGCCACCCAGGTGCACACATGTGTAACAGGGTACCCATTAGCACATGAACGTTATTGTAATTTGGTAAGCATAGGCATGCCTGTAAAATGGTTGTTGCCTGAAACTGCAAATAGTTAGAAAATTGAGGGCAGTCCTTGAATCCCAATTCATACTGTTTCCAACAAACTATACAGTCTTCTAGCAATTTTAGCGTTTAATACAGAATGATTAAAAATATGCTTAACAATGCCATCAGCAGAGAAAATGATCGTTGATTGTGTCGTTGACTCTAAGCCCACCTTGACGCACAAGAAAAACATTTCATCCAAATCAATGACCAATTGACAATAAATGTTTAGATTTCAAGTTAAAAAAGAAAGGAGATTCATACCTTCGTTGACACCTGTATTTGACTTTGAAGTGACACTGGTGTTCTGCTGCATTGTTTGTAGATGGGTTGCCTTGTCACTTGAAGAAGCAGTCACACTTAGAGGCTTTTTGGAAGGAAAAGATAATAGAAGCTTGTACACACAATGTAAAATAAAAGAAAATCAATCAAAATTAACCACACAAAAATGAAACTTGAGATAACTTGGATTCATTTTGGAATGAACATTTCAAATTTCAATCTATCAAAACAATGGCTCATATATATATATTTAAAGTTTGGTGTAACAAATTTATTTCTTAAACAGAAATTCTTTGCCATACCCTAAATCTCTGTGTATAAGACTTTTTTGCCGCCGAAAAATTTGAAAGTCGGGGGTGCGTCTTATAGGCCTACACAGGTACAACAAAAAATAAAATAAATAAATAGTTTCGATTTTTCCCCTCCATCTGGCGCTATGCCTGGCAATGTCTCCCAGCTCAGTAATCTGTGTGTTGACTCACCATTCAGAAACTAGAACAACACTCAAATTTGTCTGTCATCTTGGTTTGAAAGTAATCTTTCTAATAGATCTCAATATGTAGTTTATAATAATAATTCCTCCAATTTTTCTTCTATTCACACAGGGCGTACCACAAGGTTCTATCCTAGGTCCTCTACTGTTTTTAATTTACATTAATGATCTTAAGCCCCGTCTTAATAGAACATTTTCGATCTCACCAGAGCGACATATGGATGAGAAACAGTGGGGGGTCTGATTATAAAACACGGGTGAGCTTTTGCCTGGCTCATGGACACCGTCTTAACCAGCCATCCGCAAACACCTCACCCGGGTAGGTTATCATAACAACCGCACCTCCCTCATCGCGATCAGCTGGCGCGCGCTGTGTACATGTATACATTTTTTCACGGCCCTGACGTCATTCTACCCGGGTAGAGTTCCGCGTGCGTCTTAACAGGCCGTTTATCAGGATGTCATCCGGACAAAGTCTGGACGTCACAGCGATATCACCCTGGCCCGACTAGGGTGACATTAACCTCGATGTCACCTCGATATTGTCTGGACGTTACCCCGATTGACGCGTCTTAACAGGAAGGGGGTAGATTGGAATTGACGTTTGAGATGTACCTTTTCAGGTTTCGACAGGGCATCAAGGATTGCCAGGCATAGCATGCATTTGTGCTTTCTGATTCTCTAGAAATGTGTAGAAAAGTTGATTTTTCTCCTGACGCAAAACAAAGTCTCCTTGTAGGGTTGGGCTCTTTATGCCAAAGTACAGGACAATATCCGGAAATACTTTATGCTGTAAGCCGTGGGGAGTGCTCAAATCCAAACTCGCCCGCATGCGTGCCATGTCGTCTACTGTGAATTTTGGGGATGATGCCTCACTTCATCTTTACCAAACCTTTGAAGCTTACTAATCATTGTAATGTCAATGACACGTGATTCCAAAAAGAAATGTTGCAGGCCAAATCGAATGGCTTGCATAGACTTTAATGAATACAAGTCTCCATTCTTGTTCCGAGCAGCTTTGTAGAAATTTGAAAGAACATCTAAAGTTTTATTGTCAATTTCTTCAAAGTTTTCATTCTCCCATTTGCTAAATTCCTCAAATAAAGACTTTTGGTATTATAATTGTTGCTAGATTCATTGATCCAGCTTTGCAACTTGTCATCCTCTTCTTCACATTCTTCATTAACTCCTTCGGTGGCGGAGCTCCCTGGAGTTAATTCTTCATGAGACATCAATACTGAAACTTGGTGGTTGATATAATCTACATCTACATCTACCAGTTCCTCTTTAACTTCAAGTGAATCAATGGATGCCGCCATTTTGTTTACTCCAGATGTGTAGATCTCAGGGCTGCCAACTCTCACGCAATCTGTGTGAGTCTCACGCAATTCACCCAATTCTCACGCTGAACCCCGAAAATAGAAACTAAGAAAAAAATGTCTATTATATCGGATATTCAATATCCCTGCCGAAAGTTTCAACATTTTTTTAACCACACATGCGCAAAGCTAAACCATCAATGCAAATTGTTTTCGGTTTGCCGCGCAAAGACAAGATAGTGAATTGCGATTGGCTTATCCTGCGTGTGCGAGTGATGTCGTCACTTTACTATGAAGCGGGGTTTTTGTGCGAGACACGACAAGAGAGTGTCGATGCCATGGCCTGTCATCGCTGTACATCGCGCCCGGCCCCCAGCCCGGCCCGGCCCGGGTGGCTCAGTGTTTGCGATCGGATAATGGGCCTGGGCCGTCCTCTTTAGCCCTCTACGACCAGATCGGCCATATGGTACAGTACTTCAGGCTTCAGCCGGTACAGGTGAGTTTAAACTCTTGTCTTGAAATATTGAAATTCATGGTTTCGATCGTTTATACGAGAGTAAGAATGATTTTGGAAGGGTGCTTGTATATAATTGATATGGCAGTTATATTAACTATGTTCTGTGTATTCTATTGAGAACGAAATTTTGATTTAATTTTTTTCCAAAAAGAGTGTGTTGAGAGTGTGACTGTGTCTGAGGTTCAACTGCTAAGCTTATAAAGACAGTTGATTTGGAATAATGCACTTACAAATGTGGAAGTTTGTATTTTTTCAAGGTCAGTGTACTTCATGAAATAAATTAACCTATTTGAATCCTGCCTTATGTATTTGTGGAATCAGGGTTAAAGTATGCACCAGATTGCACCATTTCAATTGCAAAATTGTAAAAGCTCCCTACCTAGATCAGACCCGTTTCCGATACATCACTTCCACTGGACCAGAGAAACATGATCGTCTGCAGAAAGCCTCCCGTTGATCCCGCAGCATGCAATGCCAAGTGAGTAATGAAAATATGGCCTTGATATTGATAATGATTTGCAGCATCACAAAGAACTGCTTGGGAAGTGCAGGGGCCGGGCCATATTATCGAAACGAACGAGTTCTAAAATCTCAAGTTAGTCTGATTTTCCGCTGCCATAGATATTTCCAAGTCTATACATGATTAGCCTTTAAACAAGGCCACATGTCTGATAGATGCCGAGCGACTAAAAAGAGACTAATCGCGAAAACCTGAGTGAACGCCAGTGCGAGAATCGCACTGGATAGAAAAAAACAAATAATTCATCACATGTCAAACAATGTTAGTAATATACTATGTCTACAGATGATACAGAAAACATAAGTATAGACCCTACAACTAAATTTATATAACAGCAAAGTGGTAGACTAATCGTCATAGTCCCAAGTCTTATTGTTGTTGATGGTTTAGTGCTGGAAAAAACATATAGAATTTTGTCTAGAACAAACATGATCAACTTTTACCATCAAGTCTGATTTGTATTGAATAAACTAAGGCAGCCTACCAGATAAATTTGTTATGCAAGTTGGCAAGTATATATAGGGTCTACTGATTATTTGATTGGAATTAAAATTTCAAAATCGGGGAAAATAATCTATGATAAAATTGCTATAAACATATGTGCTTTCTAATTCTGTGCTTTATTTTGTAAGGTAATCTGATAAACTTACTGCTGATGAAAATACTCCAGTTGAAAAATTAAGTTTCTTTTGGGTACTGGTCGCTGCTGTGATCTTCTGGATTTTTGCTGTGCGTTCTAGTGAAACCACAGGACTTTCACATGTCTCGCTCATCCTTTTCTTCCGCACGGATGGAGTGGAAGACTTGCCCGAAGAGATGGAAATATTGCCTGTATTGGCTTCATTTTTATACTGTACCCTTGACACTGCAATGGGTGCCGAGACTGAAGCTGAAACTGCCCGATAGTTCTCCTCGTGCTGCCAATGGCAATGGAAGGCATGTTTCACTATGGTGGCCATTTCTGCTGCTTTTTTAACCTTCTGTTTACAGGAAAGACAGATCTTCCTAGCAGAAGCAGATAAATCTATGCTTTTGTCTTGGCCAGCCAAAACTGAAATCTGTTGTGCTAACTCTTTAGTTAGGTTTGTGTATTTCCTGAAAGTCACAAGTTCTCGGCCACATACACAACAAATACGAAATGATGATCTTGTACTAGTAGTAATAGCTGTAGTACTAGTACTACTACTATACCTAGTCGTACTCACTGTATCATGCTCTGAGACCGAGGCCGAGGAGCAAGCACTTGTTGAAGGAGGCTGCTGCAGCTGCAGTGAAGTTTCCTTAGAATTTGAAGAACTATCCAACACAGAAACGAGCTTTGTGGGACTAGTTTCGGCGCTAGTGTAGACTATCCATGTTTTTAGCAGTTTAATATCCATTCTTAGCAAATGAATTTTAGCCCAATTTTTAACTAATTTTAATAATAATCATATATTGCATTTTCCACCTGAATTTGGATCACATCCGACATCGGGAAACCTTCGTTTAGGGCTTCGATGTCGACTGACTCAGTGCCGTCTCTAGCTATACGGGTGAAGCTTTTCTTCACACACCTAATCGGAGATGAAGGTAGCCCATCCAATGTGTAAAAATTGCCAATTTGATAAGTGTAAGGATCGCATTGTACACGTACAACCGCTATACTACACACACGCAATATATTCTTTGTGTATTGTATCCATCAGGCATGATCAGTGCAACGATGGCTGGCATGGTGGTCGGATATAATGAGAGTAGATGATGGAGGGGGGGGGGGGGGGGGGGGGGGGGGGGGGGGTAAAGCGCAGAACTTAAGGGCAAATCAAAGAATAATACGACCTCACCTCATTTATGTTAGAAATTAAAACGTTATTATCTTCTTTCGAATTGCAATATATCCCCGCACCATAATTATAAGCATGCCATGCATATATATGCCTTTCTCTGCGTAAGGGGGCATTGACTCTTTAAATACCAAATCACATAAACTATTCACCATTATGTCACCCTCATGTACATATTTTCTATGGATATAATTTTTCACGATCTCAACTTTTCACCACCCTAGCGTCATGTACATTGTCAATTATGGATGAAGTGGAATATTAACTCTTCACCACCCTACGCTAACTTTTCACCACCCTACGGTCATGTACATTGTCTATGGATAAGCTGGAACATTAACTCTTCACCACCCTACGCTAACTTTTCACCACCCTAGCGCCATGTACATTGTCTATGGATAAACTGGAATATTTAATTTTTCACCACCCTACGCTAACTTTTCACCATCCTTCCGTTATGTACATTGTCTATGGATAAGGTGGAACATTAACTCTTCACCACCCTACGCTAACTTTTCACCACCCTAGCGTCATGTACATTGTCTATGGATTATTTACTCTTCACCACCCTACGCTAACTTTTCACCACCCTAGCGTCATGTACATTGTCTATGGATAAAGTGGAATATTAACTCTTCACCACCCTACGCTATCTTTTCACCACCCTAGCGTCATGTACAGTGTCTATGGATAAGCTGGAATATTAACTCTTCACCACCCTACGCTAACTTTTCACCACCCTAGCGTCATGTACATTGTCTATGGATAAACTGGAATATTTAATTTTTCACCACCCTACGCTAACTTTTCACCACCCTACGGTCATGTACATTGTCTATGGATAAGCTGGAATATTAACTCTTCACCACCCTACGCTAACTTTTCACCACCCTAGCGTCATGTACATTGTCTATGGATAAACTGGAATATTTAATTTTTCACCACCCTACGCTAACTTTTCACCACCCTACGGTCATGTACATTGTCTATGGATAAGCTGGAATATTAACTCTTCACCACCCTACGCTAACTTTTCACCACCCTAGCGTCATGTACATTGTCTATGGATAAACTGGAATATTTAATTTTTCACCACCCTACGCTAACTTTTCACCACCCTACGGTCATGTACATTGTCTATGGATAAGCTGGAACATTAACTCTTCACCACCCTACGCTAACTTTTCACCACCCTAGCGCCATGTACATTGTCTATGGATAAACTGGAATATTAAATTTTTCACCACCCTACGCTAACTTTTCACCATCCTTCCGTTATGTACATTGTCTATGGATAAGCTGGAACATTAACTCTTCACCACCCTACGCTAACTTTTCACCACCCTAGCGTCATGTACATTGTCTATGGATTATTTACTCTTCACCACCCTACGCTAACTTTTCACCACCCTAGCGTCATGTACATTGTCTATGGATAAAGTGGAATATTAACTCTTCACCACCCTACGCTATCTTTTCACCACCCTAGCGTCATGTACAGTGTCTATGGATAAGCTGGAATATTAACTCTTCACCACCCTACGCTAACTTTTCACCACCCTAGCGTCATGTACATTGTCTATGGATAAACTGGAATATTTAATTTTTCACCACCCTACGCTAACTTTTCACCACCCTACGGTCATGTACATTGTCTATGGATAAGCTGGAATATTAACTCTTCACCACCCTACGCTAACTTTTCACCACCCTAGCGTCATGTACATTGTCTATGGATAAACTGGAATATTTAATTTTTCACCACCCTACGCTAACTTTTCACCACCCTACGGTCATGTACATTGTCTATGGATAAGCTGGAATATTAACTCTTCACCACCCTACGCTAACTTTTTACCACCCTATAGCGCCATGTACATTGACTATGGATAAACTGGAATATTAATTTTTCACCATCCAATTACAATACAGTTTATTTAAGTTAAAACGGTATTATGTCCTATGTGCAGGCCAAAAATAATGACGAGGTTAAATTCCAACGTAATTTGAATGATAATAATAATTTAGAACTTCCCTCAAAACCAAAAGGTTTGAAAATGTCTTTTTGTGAGAAAATAATGATCATTAGTTGTCGAATTGAATTTAGCGAGCACGCTCGTTTAATTAGTCTGATTTTTACATAATAGACAAATGTACATTTAGTACATGTAGAGAGGCGCGGATCCAGGGGGGCGAGCGGGCCTTGCCCCCCCCCCCCCAAAAAAAAAGGAGAGAAAGAAAAGGAAAAGAAGGGAAAGGGAAAGAGGAGAAAAAGGGAAAAAAAGAGGAAGAAGAAAAGAAAAGAGGGAAGAAGGAGATCGGGGGGGGGGGCAAAAGGAATTGCCTCCCAGGCTGCTGCCCCCTCCCCCAATCAAAAAATAAAAGAGAAGGAAGGAAAGGGAAAGAAAAAAAGGAAAAAATTAGATAAAGGGAAGGAAAAAAGAGGAAGAAGAAAAGAAAAGAAGGGGATATCAGTTGCAATTTTCCCGATCGGGGGGGGGGGTGGAGGCAAAAGGCCCTTGCCTCCCCCCCCCCCCCCCCCCCGTCCCCGCGTTAAAAAAAGAGAAGGAAGGAAAAGGAAAAGAGGAGAGCTAAAAGGGAACAAAAAAGAGGAAGAAGAAAAGAAAAGGGAGAAAAGAAGGGGAGATCAGTCAACAATGTGTGGAGCGGAGTGGGGCCAAAATGACCTTGCCCCCCCCCCCCCAGGCAACCTTAAAAGAGAGAGAAGGGAAGGGAAAGGGAAAGAGGAGAGAAAGGGAAAGAGCAAAAGAGAATGAAGAAAGGTAAGGGATATCAGTTGTAATTTTCTCGTCAACAAGGTGTAAATCGGGGGGGGGGGGGGAGGGCACTGGCGTACTGATAGAGGAGGGGGGGGGGGCTTTGGGGAAATAAAATTCAAACGTGGTTTATTTCTAATTCCATAACGGTGGTTTACAAATAATGCTGAAATGACATAATTTTCCGAGATTTTTCATCACTTTTAAGTAAATTGTACTTTTGTATGCGTTTGTTGGAAATGACAAATTCCTAAATTTACAGCCAGGCAAGAAAATGCTTCTTAAGATGCCTACATGTCAGGGCCCGCGGAACGGCGGGGATCGGGATCCTCGAGCCTCCCCCCCCCCCCCCCACTTTAAAAAAAAAAGTATATTAAAGAGAAATAGAAAGAAAGAGAGCAAGAAAGAAAAAATAGTTAACTGCCAGTGACATATTATAATGATGTATCAAAATATGCTCATCTGACCATGATTACATTAAATGCCTAAAACCACGAGGGCTCAGCCCCCTGGATTCCACCTAGGGCCCTAAGGCGGGCCCTTAGATGCTCATCTGACAGTAATTAAACGCCTAAAACCCCTGAGCTTGCGGGGGCTCTGCCCCCTGACCCCAACGAAAAGCCTCAAGGCGGGCCCCTTGATACTCATCTGACCGTAATTGAGTGCCTAAAACCCTTGAGTTTCCGGGGGCTCCGCCCCCTGAATCCCACGCCAATTAGTGACCTGCAAATGTCACAATTAGGTATCAAAATAATGCTCATCTGACCGTAATTAAATGCCTAAAACCCCTGAACTTCCGGGGCAGACAAGGTATCAACATAAGTTCATCTGACTGCAGGCGCGTAGCCAGGGGGGGGGGGGGGGGGGGGGGCGGTGGGGTGGTCCCCCAAAAAACGCGTAGCGAGGGAGCGCGGGAGGGGGAAAACTGAATTCAGACGAAGAATATTTTCGAGAGCGGTACAACGAATCGTCTTCTTTCTCTAAAAATTAAATGAAACGTCGAAGCTTCCGCGCTTCGCAC